CAGGACATTACTTTAAAGGGGTATTCAGACGCTGGTTATATGTCTGACCCTCATACTGCTAAATCGCAAACTGGTTATGTTTTTCTTTGTGGAGGTACAGCTATATCTTGGAGGTCCATTAAACAGACCTTAGTTGCTACCTCATCTAATCACTCGGAGATAATTGCTTTATATGAAACCACACGCGAATGCGTATGGTTGAGATCACTGATACAGCATATCCATCGCTCATGCGGAACAATGAGCAATGTTGATTCCCCGACAGTCCTATATGAGGACAATGCAGCATGTGTTGCACAAATGAGTAATGGGTACGTTAAAGGAGGCCTTACTAAACATATCGCTCCTAAATTCTTTTACCCACATGAACTCCAGAATAGTGGTGAAATACTCATTGAAAAGGTTCGCTCCAGTGAAAATCTGGCAGATCTATTCACTAAGTCCCTGCCTACATCCACTTTTGAGAAGTATGTTTATAAAATTGGGATGCGGAGGCTAGGAAGACTGTTGTCTTCAGGGGGAGCGATAAACTCGGTCTAGGAGACTTTTAAATCTTGAAGATGATGCCCGGAAGGCTTATGGTTGTACTCTTTTTCCTTAGCTAAGTTTTTTTTCCCACTGGGTTTTTCTTAGGCTAAGGTTTTTAACGAGGCAACCGATGCAACACATGATTGATACTACATGTACTCTTTTCCTCAACTAGGTTTTTCCCACTGGGTTTTTCTAGCGAGGTTTTTAACGAGGCATGAGTATAATTATTTAATGGCCAAGGGGGAGTGTTATAATTACTTAGAATAATATGGCCATTAAAACTTTAGTCCCTTCATTTGCCTTCTATTTAATCCATTGTTATGTTATAGAATTGAAGGGTTGTATGGATTATTATATAAAGAGTTGAAGGCTTAATGAAATGATACACTTACATGGTTGTGGTGCTCAATTGTGTTCTTCTCCTTCTCTCTTCTTATTGCTTATTCTACACACATATACATATACATACAAACCTCGGGCTACTACCGTGCAAACACCGTGAGACATCTAACGAGTTGATAGGCCAAAATTTAACAATATCAAATTTTAAATGATTTACATTATTATTATTATTATTTAGAATAATTTAAATATCTAAAATCTAAATAAATTTAAAATTTTAATATAATGTATTAATATTGTGCACCTATTTTTTGAGCATCGCCCATAAAAAATACTAGTATATATATATATATATATATATATATATATATATATATATATATATATATATATATATATATAAACCGGCTTATTTTCAAAAAGAATACGGAGTAAATAATAAATAGAGTTCTTCATAACAATAAGGAGAAGGAAGACAATCTTTAGTTAAGTTGATGAGTAGCAGAGTTAGAGTAGGTTTGTTCCTTTGGATTGAACAACCACCTTTACTTCATTATATTGCTCCACTCCACTCTTCTCTTTCATAACAATTCTTGGAGGGAGAAACGTAACCCCTAATTCTCCCAACCCAACTCTGCAACCATGATCACAGGAGAGCTATTCAAGGAGCGTTTGAGGATACTCCGACCCATAAACAGCTTTGGGGATACTCCGATATCATAGTGGTGAAAACGCCGGTGGCGCAGGCCTGGTATTCAAGATCAAGATCATTATCATTATCCCGGGACTTCTTTTTATGGCTGTTGGGCGAAGATGTTGAGGGAACGGCGGTCTTCACCCTCTGCCCACGGGCGGTTTTCTTTGTGTGTACTACGCAGGAGAGCTTGGCTGGGCTGCGTAGTTTGGGGGACTACGCGATGGAGGCGATGAAAATTCCGGTGGTGTTGATGGAACATAAGGCGAGGAACCCTAGTGATGATGGTGATGCATGGGGGGTTTCCAAGTTGGATGGGATTATTGAGAGTGCGAGGCTAAGTAATGGTAGTTGGATGTTGAGGGTTGGACTTATTGATAAGGAGAATCCCAAATCGAAAGTTTTGTGGGGGTTCGGGGATGATTTTGAGAATATTTACAAAAAGTACAGGATTGCGAGTGTGAACTCCGGGATGCGGAAGCTTCTGATTGTTGAGCAGGGTAATAATGATGATATTATTATGCAGAAATTCAATGCCATTATAGACAAATCAGCAAAAGGACTTCCATTGTCAGGAGGAGGAGGTTTGGGAAAGCTGGAAAATTCTAAGCAGGAAAACAAAATGCTTCTTCACAGATGCTGCTGCAACTACTGTACTCCTCCTCCTCCTCCTCCTCAGAGTTTAGATGATGATACCACCGAAGATATGCAGCAGGTAATGTCCTCCTGGATTTGCAATGATGCAAATGCATCAGCAGCACCTTCACGCATGGCCTTGAAAGAGCAACATGATGAGGAAGATTATGATGAAGATGAAGATGAGGATGATGATGAGGATGAGGAGGATTATGATGAGGATGATTATTTGGAGGATGATGATGGGGAGGATGAGGATGAAGAGGATGAAGAGGATGAAGAGGATGAAGAGGATGAAGAGGATGATGATGATGATGATGATGATGATGATGATGATGATGATGATGATGATGATGATGATGATGATGATGATGATGATGATGATGATGATGATGAGGATGATGATGATGATGATGATGATGAGGAGGATGATGGTGAGGAGGATGATGATGAGGAGGAGGATTATGATGATGAAGAAAACAAGAACGAAGTACATAAATCTGAGGATGAAGATGATGAGGAGGAAGATGATGAGGAGGATGATGATGAGGAGGATGATGGTGAGGAGGAGGATTATGAGGAGGAGGATTATGATGATGAGGAAAACAAGAATGAACTACATAAATCTGAGGAAGAGGAGGTTAATGGGGAGATTAAAGTGCAGCTGCCTGAATCCAAATTTGCAGAGATACACATTATTAATGGTAGCATTGGTGCTGAACAAGTGGTACTGGCAGATGTGGAGGAGTCTGAGAAGCTGATTCCCGATGACAACTGGGACTGGGAGATCATCCACAGACCAGAAGAAGAAGATATAGCCCGCTGCAGCAGCCGGAAGAGGAGGTATATATATATTCATCAATCTCTCCATCTTTCTTTCTTAATTGTTTCCTCCTCCGATCCTATATTATACTATACTTTATATGATTTAGCAGCCTCTCTAATCCCTGACTCACTCACACATACATACATACATATATCTTCGATTACAATGCAGTATCTGTTCATAGCTACTTCTTATTAGTTATATATATACCTGTCTTAATTAATTAGTATCTTCTCCAGCCTCTAACATGATTCGCATGCATGTTTTCATCTCAGCTGGATCGGGTGGATGGGCAGAAGGTAGAACATTTAGCTTGCAACTCAGTTTGCTGCACCACATTCAGGCTTTATTATTTATCGATGTCTTCATATTTCTAGCTTAGCTTAGTTTAGTTTAGTTTAGTGATGAATAACTGGACAGCCAAACTATTTACCATACTGCTTTAATTTTTGTGGTTTGCCATCCATATTCAGTATTATTTACATTTGAATAAATATTTGATGTTGGGTATGTATGTGTTTCCATCAATCTTCAAAATTGTTCAAATTCAATCATTTATATTGCATAAGAATTTGGTTGTCGTTATACTCACAGCTTAGGAGTAGGGACTTATAGCATTATAATTAGCTAATTGTGTTTTTTTTTTTTAAAGAAAAAAATCAGCCTAAGCAATTTTTTTTTTTTTTTTTTTGAAAATCCTAAGCAATTTCTATTAAAGAACAAATCTACCATAAGTTAAGCAATTTATATTTATTGTTGTCTTATCTGCTTGCCAAAACTCATGACAAACTTTTTAGAAAAATTTTCCCATAAGTTAAGCAATGTCCTTTTTTTGTTTTTGTTAATCATTTAGAAAAAAACTACCATAAGTTAAGCAATGTCCTTTTTTTGTTTTTGTTAGTCATTTAGAAGCAAAACTGTTAAGCAATTGTTATTTATTGTTGTCTTGACACACTTTAATTTTTTTAAATTAAAAAATAATGATTAAATAAGTTATCAAACTATTCATGAAAGTGTAATTAATTTCTCGAACTAAAAAATGTTATATTTAGACAATTAAAATTAGAAGAAAAAAAAGAAGTACAATTTGTCAATTTGACGTGTCATTTAAGGTAATCTTCATATTATAGGTATTGGAATGCCATATCAATAACAACAATAATAATAATAATAATAATAATAATAATAATAATAATAATAATTTTATTATTATTATTATTTTATATTGTTCCAATAATTAATTTTAAATGTATAATTAAATAATGTAAATAATAATAACCAAATTCATTTTCAAACTTTTGTAAGAAAAATGTTTTAATATTTAATTATTATTATATATAAAGAAAGAATATTCATGAGGGAAAAAAATATTTTCCTTCCTTTCAAATTACAATTTCTTTTTTAAAATATACATATTTTAGGAAAATAACGCTTTTGGTCGCTGAATTGTTTTACTTTTACAAATTTGATTTCTATCAATTGATTTGAATAAATTTAGTCTTTTAATTATCAAATTTGTACCCCATTTAGTCCCTAGAGTTGTATAATAATATAATTGCAAATTCTATTAATAAGTATTTTTTTCATTAGGTTATATTTGTCAATTACTCTCCATTGTTAACGATTTGGACAACCGCATACTCATTTATTAATGAAAAATTTATGCAATGAAGATGATGATAAAGGGGGAAAAGAAAGCTTAAAATAGGGAAGAGTAATTGATAAATATAGTCTCATGAAAAAAATGACTTATTAATACTCCATAAAATTTTATAATTATATAAACTTCATAGACTAAATGTAGAACAATATGAATAATAGAAGGACTAAATTTGTAACAATCTTTTTTCAAAAAAATAAATAAATTAACAATTAAGGACCAATAGCGCCGTTTTGTTTTTTAATTAAGGAAACAAAGAAGAAAAAATAAATAAATAAATGCTACACAAGGGGGAAGAAGACAATCTTGACTTGACTTGGAGTTACGAAGAGATATAGTGGGTCTCCGCCATCGTTCTTTTCGACGGATCGGTTGATCGAACCTTCACCTCCATCCACTCTACTCTTCCATAACAATTCTTGGAGAAATCCACCCCATAATCCCAGCCATGATCACAGAGCTATTCAAGAAGCGCTTGAGCACGTTCTACTCTAGCTGGAGAACCCACAGACAGCTTTGGGGAAACTCCGATATCGTAGTCGTCAGCACGCCGACGCAGGCGGCCTCCAATTTACGATCATCATCCACCGGGGACTTTTTCTTATGGCTGTTCGGCGAAGATCTTGCGGGAACCACGGCGGTGTTCACTCCATCGTCGATTTTCTTTCTCTGTACGCAGAAGAGCTTCTCCCGGCTGCGTAGTTTGGGGGGCTACGCCACGGAGGTGATGAAAATTCCGGTCTCCGTGGAACTTAAGCCCAGGAGCCCTGATGAAGAAGGGTTTTTCAAGTTGGATGGGATTATTAGGAGTATGAGGCTAAGGCTTAACTCTGGTAAGTCTCCGTTCACTGCTGATCTTACTTGCATACTAACTGTTGGATGTATTGACAACGAGATTCCCAAATCCAAACTTTTGTTGAGCTGCGTGAACGGTTTTGAGTATTTCGCTAAGTACAGGATTGCCAGTGTGAATTCCGGTGTGCGGCTGATGGTTCAGGGTACTGATTCATCAATAATTTATATAAATGATAAATTTTTGGCTGATAATATACAATTTAACAGAGGAGTTAAAAGGACTATGGAGGACAGAATCGATTCCATGGACAAACCAAAACTTCCTTCATTGTCAGGAAGTTTAAGTTTGGGAAAGCTCGAAAATTCTAATAATCTGATTAAGGGTTTTAAGGAAATGAATATGTCTTTAGGTGAGGTAGAGACTAGCAGCAAGGAAAATACTGATGAAAAAATGATATTGGAAAATTTGGGGGGGAATTTTGAAAAGGCAGCCAATGAACCACCTTCTTTAGTTGTAGATCAAGGGAAAACCACAGAGCCCATGATGGAGGGAGAGACAAGTAATGTGTCATTTAGACTTGAGAAGGGGGATGAGTCCAGAGAGTTTAAGCAGGAGTGTATAGATAAGCAGCCTGAGACCGAAAAGAATGGTCTGAGGAAGGACAAAAAAGCAGCACGGAGGGGATTATCGGTTCCTGAACAGAGGCTGACGTTTTTCTATTCAAGCTGGAGGAAATACAGAAATGAACTATGGGGTGACTCCGATGTTTTGGTGGTTACCACCCCGCCATCCTCTTCGTCTGGGTCAATGGCAACCATGCTGGACCATCCAGTATCGTCTAGCTTCCTCTTGTGGTTGCTCGATCGTGACTTCCCAAACACGACAGCTGTATTTATGGACCAAGCAATTTATTTTTTTTGCCCTATTGAGAGTTATGCAAAACTTTGTTTTTTAGGACTCTATATGACAACTGCAGCACAGATTTCTGTTTCAGTCCAACAGAAGGTTAAGGCTGGTGATGAATCAGAACTGTTAAATTCGACTTTATATGCTTTGTGGACTGACCGAGCTAATGATCTCCCTATTACTATTGGTTATATTGATGGAGAAGCTCCAAGTTCAAAGGGGAAGTTGGATGAAAGAATGTTCCAAGCCACAAATGTGATAAGTGGTTTTCTAAAGCTTCTTTATGAGGAGGGAGACGGATTGAAATCACTTCAAAGTCGGAGTTTGGATACCACCGAAGATAAGGGCATTGAAAATCTAGCTGAAAATTATCAGCAAGTGATGTCCTTGTCGGATGCAAAAGCTTCAAGCATGGTCTCAAATGAGCAACAGAAAGATGAAGTATTGCAAGTGAAGCTTGAAAACAAGGATGAACTACATAAATCTGAGGAGGTTAATGGCAAGATTGGCAACCTGCCATCCAAATTTGCAGAGATGAACATTGTGGTTGAAGGGGAGCAGTGCCATCAAAACTCAACTGAAGAAGATGGCTCAGAGAGTAAGCTGCTCGTGGCTGAGAAGGAGCAAGAGTCTCAGTCTGGTAATGTTAGAGATGATGGCATTGAAAATGCGAGCAATCAGTCAAAGGAATCTGTGGTGGTTTCCGATGATGATGACTGGGAGATCATCGAGAGGCGCCATGAGGGACAAGAACCAGATATAGCTAATAATAGCAACTGGAGGAGGTATTCGTGAATCTCACACTTATCTTCACTAATTTCTTGTTTTATATATATGATTTAGCAGTCTTTAACCTGACAAATTTATCTTTGCTGACTTCTTGTTATATATCCTCTAACATGATGTATGTTTCGTCTCATCAGCTGGATCGGCAGAGCATTTAGCTCAGTCAGTTCGCACCACAAGGCAGCCGGTGATGAAGGATCATCTTAAACTGCACATTCTGGCTTTATTAATGCCTTCTCTGCATTGATGTGTATATTATATAATAATCATATTCTCTTTTATTGCTACTGAGTACTAGTTTAGTGATGAATAACTGGACAGCCAAACTATTTAGTTGGTTTCAGTGGTTTGCCATGCATATTCAGTATTTACATTTGAGAAAATATTTGGTGTTATGTGTTTTTGCAACTTTGCATCAATCTTGAAAATTGTTCTAATTCATCGTTGTTGTAAAACACTAATGTTTATGTATGTGTACAGATAAAATGAAGACAGCTAATCTCAACAGCTACAAAATCAACATTGTTCTAATTCATCGTTGTTGTAAACTTATCAACTTGTTATTATAGTGCATCGAAGTTCAAAAATCGATTATTAAGTCACTAAGGTTCTGACAAGACTTCGGCAATTGACCAACTAACCTTTTTCAAGGCGATATGGCTGCCTTCTTTACAGTTGGTGACTAATTGGCCTTTTTCACCTGAGAAGGTGATCTGTGACTGTTCTCTAGTATTTTATGTTTCACACTTTGTGTGAGAAAAGTTACAATATAAATACTTATATTATTGTGTGTATTTTTGTTATATAAAAATATTTAAGTTTTTATATTAATTATTTTCAATAAATTATTGTTCAATAATCATGAAATTATGAATTCAATATTTCAAATAATTTTTTTTTATAAAATTTAAATTTAATTATTGTCCATGAACCAACTGCCTGTATTGTCTAATTCGCGAACAGAAGAAGAAATAGAAATTGACTATTGACTAAAGGCATACCAATAAGCCGCAATGTATATGATGAGTTGTTATACCATGGATTTCATTTTATTCTAAACAATGTATAAATTGTGTAAATTTAACAATAAAATTGTAAACTTCTAAAATATAAATTATGTTTTCAAGTCAAAACGTATAACATTGTTGATAGAAATTTATAAATACAATAAAAAGTCATTAAATCTTAACTTATAAATACAAAATAAGATAATCAATTATATATTCTTAATATACCAATTATGAATTTTTTAAAAATAAATTATAAACGTGATCCAACGTGGACCGGGTCCACAAAAATAATTTGCCATATGATATACTATACCCGACTGAAAGCGGCGTTACTAAGCAAATAAGCAATAGCGAAACTTAGCGCGTGCGGCGAGTAAACGACGGCGAAGCAGGTGGCTGCGAATCTGCGGCACAGACTACTCCGGCGGAGCAATGGTCGGAGTTCTCTCTCATAAGATCCAAAAAGATCAACTGAATCCGGGGGATCACGTTTACTCATGGAGGCACAACTATCTCTATGCTCATCACGGTTTGTCTCCCTTCCTTCCTCTCAGTTTTTCTTTTCTGTAAATTATTGCAGATCACTAAAGCTGCTTTTTTTTTTTTAATTCGTATTTCTGGGATGCCTCATTTGCTATCTTGACTTATTTGAAGAAGAGCCTGTTTTTGTTATGCTTTACCAGAAATAACTTGGAATTTTTTGGGTCAAACTGGTATGAAACGGCGATCTGGTTAACTCTTCTTATAAGTGGAACATTCTGGAAAACTCTGACCCATCTTCTCTTGTTTAATTTCTCCTGGTGGGTTCTTATCATTAGCTTTCGCGCCCAAAACTAGAATCAGTTCAATACTATATTGATTCGGGCCTTTTTCCCTATCAGCATATATGTTTGGAAGAGGGAATTGCAATTTATTTTCTACTTAATTGCAATTTTTGCTAGTAGTTTCTATTAGGGTGTGTTTGGTTCGCAAATGGGAATCGGAATCGAAATGGGTATCAAATATTTAGTATCAAATATTTAGTAATAATAATGGGTTTTGGTGTAAGTATGTAGAAGATTATTAATATAGATGAAAATATCTTGGAAATATCTCAACAAAGTATTTTGCATGTTTGGTAGTAGGGTGGAATTAGAATGATTAGGCTAAGGATGAATAATGGGATGAAACCCATATAAAATGAGGGAATGGGTTTTTCCCGGTATTCCAAATCCACAGTAGTGTTTTAAAAATCAATCAACCAAACATTAATATCACTTTTATACCCATACCTGAGTGCTAAACCTGCCAACCAAACACACCCTTATTTCTCATAACCTTTATTGATTTGTATTCTTTCTTGAATGTGTGAAGTTCATTGTGAGTTTTCATAGTTTATGTCACCATATTACATTATGCTGCTATGGTGTATCATTCTTTGCAAATTATTTCAGGGATATATGTTGGTGATGGAAAGGTTATTCATTTCACACGGGCTGCAGGTCATGAGATTGGAACAGGAACTGTCTTAGACAGCTTTCTTTTCAGCTCTTCACCTGTGAAGCCCTTAGACCCCCCATGCCCAAGATGTGGTGATCAATCAGTGACTGAAGGTGTAATCGTATCCTGCCTTGAATGTTTTCTTTATGGTGGGGAACTCTATATTTTTCAGTACGGTGTTTCTCCAGCTTTTTTTCTTGCCAAAGTTCGAGGAGGAACGTGCTCACTTGCCCGGTCTGATCCAATGGAGCAGGTACTTCATCGAGCTGAATATCTGCTTCAGAATGGTTTTGGGGTTTACAACCTGTTTAAGAACAACTGTGAGGATTTCGCAATCTACTGCAAGACTGGTTTGCTTGTCTATACAGATCTAAGTGTAGGCCGGAGTGGACAGGCAGCTTCCGTTTTAGCAGCTGTGAGTGTAATCGCCTCATCACCGCTTCGTTTCTTGACTACCGGCATTGGTGGTCTGTCAGCCGTGGGATGTGGCATTTATTGTGTCAGCCGGATTGTTTCTGATATTGGAGTGCGTCGGGATGTCACAAAGATACACGTGGAAAAGCTCGTTGCCCGTTTTAGCCCAGGCCTGGCTGAGTCTAGAGCTGGAACGTCTGATAGCCAAGTGCGTGATGGTTTTCCAAAGACACCAGTCGAGAGTCCAATTGGCCACTCTAGCCCTGACCCTGAGCCTGAAACTGCAACATCCATCTAACAGTGTAGTATGTGACAACATCACAAAGAGTATTGCCACAGGCTCTAGCGTTTCTGAGTCTGAAGCTGAAAGATCTGATAGCGGAGCCTGCTGTGATCTCACCATCGAGAGGCTTGCCATTTGTCAATTGGTCTAGCCTGCCCGAGACGAAAGCTGGAACTGATGCTGAAAAGGAGTCGTAATTCTTGTTGTGTGTGTTATATATGTATTCTGCGTGTGTATGTAGTGCTCATCTCCATAGCCTGTAAGCCTGCCTGCATGGCTATTAGGCACATCAGAGTGAGTAAGTTTTTGTGATATAATTATGATATTGACATAAGTGTACTGTCATTAGTGATCTAGTTGAGAGGTTATTGTATGGTGAAAAATGACTATCTAGTGTGTAGAAGTGTTTTGAGTGAGAGCCGCAACCTCTTCTTATGTGATGGATAATGATACAATCCAGATAACAATGAGATTTTATAATAGTACTTAAAGAGATCTTAAAAACTTGCAGTCTAATGCCACGAAGTGACTCATTCATATGAGAAGCCATAGGTTCGAGCTTCAGTGAGGGCAAAAAACGTTTCTGCCTCTTGTAAAAACAAATTGGTTTTTGGTTTGTTTCTATTGGGGTTTATGGTTTCCCATCATTGATGGTTAAAAATTTAAGATTATCGTGTTTTTTAATTGACCAAAATTTTCAACTACTGAAAAAGTTGAATGTTATCCAACAACACTTCTGCTGATGCTAAAAGTAGTCGAAAACGTGATTTTCAATCACTTTTTTGGTGGGTGACTCAAAATTGATATCATGCTTTGCTGTAAACATGGTGAATGTGGTGCCATATTGTACAAGTGGGAGAATGCATATACAGTTGCAGATAAGCCCCAGCCAGTCTATGCTCGCGGGCCTACGCCAATTCACATGGCGAGCAAAAGTGGTGGTATAATTTAGGCCTAAATACAAAATCCAGCAATCCATCTCTTGTCTCTTTACTCACGTTATTATGTTTGGTCACTGACTCGATCACCACATGTTCTCCAATCACACAACTTGTCCATCACACCCAATTCTCCCCAACTTGCCATCGAATAATTTTACTTTATATATAACATATAGAGGCTCTTTTGTACCACGAGTCAAGCCTTTTTAGGTTCATTTTGAGATTTGATTTACAGCGCCTAAGAGAGTGTCTAAGTGTCTATACAATTCAATCTCCTTCTAAAGGCTATGGTATATATAGTGGTGCAAAGTGACTTCCCAAACTAATGTGAAACAAGTGTTTTTTATCAGCATTTTCACCTTTTTTTTTTCCACTCAAATAGATCTAATTTGATAATCAATTTTTTATTCATCCATTATCCATTTTGAGCGTACAATATATCAATTTCTTTGTTGAGTGCAAATCCACTTTGACCAGACCCAAATTAAAAGTGAACCCCACATATATTTGTATCATAAAATAGCCACTTAAATGTCATTTTTAAGCTAAAATTCCAACAATCCTAATACATAATTGGACTAGTTAACCAATCCAAACAAAATAAATAAACAAATAAAAGCCAAGCACTTTGTGCTCAGATAGCATGTAGAGATTTCTCTCATGTGAGATGTTATGAGATCGAGTCTCAATGGAGGTGTTGTTGACTATGTGTACTTCATTAGGTAGTATCACGTGGGCCCGGATTGAGTTCCATCCTTTCAACCAGGAGCCCATGGATTCCGATTCAGCCGTGGCCATTTGATTGGCATGGATTCCATTTTATTATTATTTTTAAAATTTAGTAATAAATAATAAAGTGTTAGGAAAAGGCAAGGAATCCAAAGATTTTTTTATTTTTTATTTTTTATTTTTTATCATGAGATTGAAAATTAATAATTTTTATTGAAATATATTAGATTCAAGTGAGAGGAGTTTGAGTTGTTTAAGTATGTAGTTAACGATTTAAACTTATATATATAATGACACTATTGATAGAGTTGTGCCTGGAAAGGGGCCTCACTAAGTTGATTCAGACTCTTTGGTCTACAATAATTAAAAAAGCTATATTAAACACCTTGAAGTATTGATAATTAGGTCGAATTTTGTTTTCAGCGACACGTCTAGGTCTGATTTTGCACTATTTATGTCCTACTATCCATGCTTGACATTTTCTTTTCAAAATATCAAATCTCTACTACTTATTTTACGCTGTTTTGCAATAAAAGTGGGGAAAAGGGACTTGTGGCCTTTTTGGCTTTACATTGCGTCATAGCATTAGGCCGTTACATTATGACTATTCCATCATCAACCAAATTGACAAAAATATTGTCATTTATGTCGCACTAATAGGGGTGCACTCTAATGCGAACGGTCGCCCAGGAGAGAACTGAGAACCATCCAGAGCGCGTCACGTGTCTAGATCAACAAATCAGATGTGATTTTAAAAAAACGACGCCGTGGCAATTTCGTAACTAACTCGAACTTTTGGTGCATATAAATGTGTTACTAGTTCTCTTACGCGCTTTGCGCGAATGGGATAATGCCCAATAATTATTTTTAAATAAGTATTTCAAAGTATATCAATGCAATATTATATAGGAGATGTTCATGCATAGGTAAATAAATGTTGAATTTGTTTATTTAAATCGGTAATTTAAAGTATATAAATGCAAGATAATATATGAGAGATTGATTATAATTGTCACTAAAATAAATGTTTGCAACTCTGTAATAATGTTAGTCTAAATACTTAGTCTTAAAGCGATAGTCTAAATAAATACTATTTTTGATTTAAATTTCTATAATTCTTCTTAATTCTCTTTTGGGTAGCATTGTTATTGTTTTCATCTTCAGTACATGCAATGTCCTTTTTTTTTTTTTTTTTTTTTTTTTTTTTATTGGTAGTGTGTCATGTGCAATTAGGTTACTGGTAGCGGCATAGATGGATTCATCATGCAATGAGATTATAGTGTAGGAAGTTTTAGATTTGCCTTGCTGTGTATATGACTGAGATTTTAGTTGTAATATGAACTCTTTAGCGTACAAACACCTATTGATATTTAGTAGTGGTAGTTTTTTCCCTACATGTTTCATGTGTTGTGAGATGTGTGTCGTAGGTTATCATGTGAAAGTATTGAACACAATATTAATATTTATTATATTTGTATTTGTATAAAATACTTGGTAAATAAATAAATAAATAAATATATATATATATATATATATATATATATATATATATATATATATATAAACATAATTTATATTATAACTTTGATATTTAATTACAAGATAATGTAAAAAAGAAGACAATGAACAATGTAGTGAATATAATAAATTAATAAATTTGAAAGTAAGGAATCTTTGAATTGTAGAAAATAAAGATAATATAACTAATGAAATTATATTTTTTTAATTTTTTTTATAATGAATAATTTTTTTTAAATAAAGCATTATAGACATCTAATTCTAAATTAATTAAATGCATATGTATTATTTTTTATTGTCGCTACTAATTTATTTAATTAATAAGAGTAATAAAGTGTGGTACATACTTTTCTTCAACAATAATGAAATCAATGATTTTTTTTTTTATTTCCATTCCTTGTTGAGACAAATTGTTTTGAGAGTTTGAATTGTCCATGACAATTGTTACAATTGCTATCAATAGAGGATGATAATAAATAATTCAAAATATATGGTTACAATAGATATTAATATAATGATATAGTAAAAATTAACTTACAAATTTCTTTAGAAGTTTTCATGCATTGATAAAATTTTGATGTGTAAACTTGTTCAATTGGAGCTAGTAGGATGTTAACATTGTCAATTATTTGAAAAATGATCCTATCGTTTTAGAGTCCATGTGTAATTGTATTTATGATCAACAACTTTGTAGTTAGGCCGCGTAGGTATGACAATGATGTAAGAACAATTTTGTCTGATAAAAAAAATAATAGTATAATATTTGTAAAGTAATGTACAATTGTACCATTAAAAAATACAAAAAATATTAATACCATAATGGCCTAAATCATTCTAATAATGCAAAAGCATAATTGAAATATTAAGTTTTGTTCTAAATAATCAGAAGAAGATTAATTAAACAAAAAAAAAAAAAAAACTTAACCTAATTTTTTTTAAAATAAAAAATTCAAGAAAATCAAATGATTTTAAAGTAGTTCCTGATTTATAATCTTTGATGCTCAACTTTGAATGCTATGTATTTAGTCAAGCTAATTATTTGACCAAAGTTTATGTTAAATTTTATATTATATATTTTTTAATACATTTTGTCATATTCATAATATATGTTTAACAATTATGCCAACTATACTTGGGATGAGGTTCGAATCTAAGACCTTATATAAATTAAGAGTATGTTAAGAATAATAAATAGTTAACGGAATATTCCGTTACTAAAGTTTAAACTAACGGAATTTAGGGTTATTTAAGGGAAGAAAATAATATAATAGAGGGTAAATAAGGAAAATCATTAGAAGATACTAAAATCAAAATAATATGAACCATTCATTTTAAGAAACAATTAGTACCAACATTTTTTTTGTTCCAGTTAAGAGCCTAACATTATTCGCTCTTATTAGATTTGTAGATATGTGCAAGTAGTTGTTGCACCTTTGCAAGTAAAAAGTGTAGGTAAAATCACTTACAAGTACACCTACTTTCACCTACAAGTACATGTAATTTTGTCTTATTAACATTCATTGATCTGAGTTCGTTCTGTTTGGCATCGCTTTTGTTCTTGTGGGAGTTTAGCGGGTAGTTAGTACCCGTAAAAACCACCCGCAAGATGGCTTGAGGGAGGGGTTGGCGGGATAGATGCACCTTTGCAAGTAAAATGTGTAGGTAAAATTGCTTACAAGTGCACCTACTTTCACATACAAGTGCACCTACTTTCACATACAAGTGTATGTAATTTTGACTTGTTAACATTCATACACCTAGGTGCAACTACTTACAGAATATAACTATAGGTACACCTAGTTACTTGGACACGTGGCGCGCACTGAAAAGTTCTCAATTCTCTCCTGGACGGGTAGTTCGCACCTGAACGCACTGAAAAGTTCCCGATTCTCTCCTGGACGGGTAGTTCGCACCTGAACGCGATATATATATATAAACAATAGAAACAACACTTCGTTACGGAAATGTTGAAATGTTATCCTCCGGTGATATTAACTGAAACATATGTTTCATCTTAACTAAAAATTTAAACTGATAATTGAATTGTACATTTATACTTATACATTATATGTTCAATAATATTCTCTCAATTGAGAAGCCTTTATTTCCAATCCATCCAAACACGGCATAGGTATAGATGATTAAA